TATCTTGTGCTACTTGGCTTTTATCGATCGGTTAGTCCGCGGCTGTGGCGGTAGCTCCCGCAGCTTAATTTGTTGATCCGATGGAGTGCTACTCTTCCGAGCTTTTTGTTTCAGTGGTGAGCTTAGTGGTATAAAAAGCCTTGGGGGTATTAAAACTGCAGCGAGATTTAAAAAAATCGTTAGATTTATTTTGTATTGACGAGTAGGAGATGAATTGAAATAGATATATAGCATAACTCTTGAGGTATTGTCGGCGCTTTTTATTTTTTATGTAATAATTGAAGTGCCTATTAGACAGCTCGTTGTCTTTTTAAGAAATCGGATAACAACGAGGATGTGATTCCTTAAATTAAATTAAAGTTATCAGCAAATCTAATTCATTTTTGTGCTATACATCTGTTAACCGAAGGTCATACTAAAACCGGTTGTTATTGCACGATAAGTAGTTACATCTGTGGCAGCTATTTCGAAATTCTCGCTAAGTGCAAAATTTCTTGTCGTTTATTTGTTCGGAAAAAGGGAACTCGTGTAATAAAACTGAAAAAATACTAATAGCTTGAGCAAACTAGTTGGTCGATGAAATCCTTTTCGTTTAGGTAATGTTATTTCTTGAACGAGTGTGGAAAAAGAAGTTGCAATTTTGATCGGACGATATATTTGGTAAAATGTAAATATGAGAATGTATAACGCTGAAATTTTTATCAGTACTGGTTGTTGCATTAAAATTAAGCGAATCGAAATATAAAAGTCGGGATATTTTATAATACGGAAAGGTAAACTGGATTTACAAATCGGCGCATATCTGGTAAAAATTAATTTTATCGATCCGAGAGAGCTGTACGATAAGAAATTTATCGCAATAGCTAATAATATTCACATGATTGCAATTTTCCACTCAAACCGTAATTTGTTATTTAGGAATTCCATTGCTCGGTATGCGTTTATAATATTCATAAAAATATCATCAAGATTTTTTTGACCGTATCAACTTCGTATCTGAACTCGAATCGATACATAGTTGCATTAAGCGATGCGTACTTATAATGTACAGTTGCATACACTGTCCGAGAGAGAGAGAGAGAGAGAGAGAGAGAGAGAGAGAGTGAGAGAGAGAGAGAACGAGAGGTAATGTAAAGGGAGGTAGCTAAAGTAGGAGCTGATGAAATTGCAGAGATGCTGAACAGGTATACGCACCGTACGTTCACATACATACTAACGGCCAAAAGTATTTTTCGTATGGGGCTATTTAGTTACAGTTAAGAAAATCGAAGACTTTTGTGCATTTCTAATAAAACATCAAACCGATTGAGATGCTTGTAAAATTGATGCTGAAAGCCCAGGCGCAAATATTACTATTTTATTGAAATTCAGAGCTGATCAAACATTTATTCTTGAAAATTATATAATGCCGATATAGAAGATAGATACTTTACGATTGCATGACAATACGTTTCTCGACTTGACGACTTTTTTTCTATCGTATTATTATTCCCTAACCTGCACTTTAACTTACCCAAGGTCAAATAATAATTTGATTAAAAGAAGTGATACCATACTACTTTTCAAAAGTAGTAATCCTTACAAAAGAAAAGTGCCAAATACTTTTGGTAGCGTTTATATATTTCTTACCTGTTTCCCGCTCGCTCAAGCGTTCGCTTACAAGATTGAAACATGCAAGTTGCATTATCGAATCTCTATCTCTATCCATCTCCTCCTTCTCTTATCCTCTATACGAATAATCCGCATTTGCATATTCGAAGAAGGCTGCTGCTGCTGCTGCTGCTGCTCCTGACGTAGATGATCTGCCCTTGTGGGCATACTGCATATTCCGAATGAAAAAACGAGCAAACCGGTAGTTAAGCAGTGGGTGTATATAAAGCTAATTATCGGCGAAAATTGGCGCGGCTGGTGATGTTTGCTTCGTCTTTTTGCTGTACCCTGTTGGCTTGTTTCGACGACGCGCCTGTGCTGCTTCGAGAGACGACGTGCGGCGATGCGTGCAATGCTTGCGTGTGCGGTCGTTCTCAATCGGATGCTCGGCTTGATAGGTGGATTACTCTCGCAGGAACTGCCAAACATTTTTTTGCTCGAGGCTTTGCGGTGGCGTTCATGGGAACAATAAAGACCAGCCGTATGGAAATATTTGGTTACTTTACCTCGGCAATTCTGCTCAAAGTTAATTAAGAATAAAGTGCATTACACAATCGTGACGGAATTACAGCTGCTTCGGATATATCAGGATATCATTGTAGTCATCAGACTACCGTACCTTGCGTAACGGCAACAAGAAACGTTATAGTAATGAGCTCTTTTTTCGTTTGATTTGCTCTCCGAACTTTCGAACAAACAAAAAAGTCCTTCATAATTGCATTCCAAATTACACCGTCCTTCGAACGATCCCAATCCCAGGGAAAAATACATATTGCCGCGAAACGGACGCACAGAGGATCCCTGGCAAGAAAAAGAACACATTTCAATTTCAAGAGGTTTCTCGATTACGAGCGACGAAAGGCTGCGTGCGCGCACGAGATTGCTGCCGCCCCGGCGAACGACAAGAAAAAAAGAGGAATGGAAAAGACGAGCGCAAGGCGAGGGTTTCCGAAACGACAACTGACAGGCGAAGAGAGCAGCCGCAAAAGGAGTCGCGTGTGCAGAGGCGATGTATTTATTTACGGCATCGCTAATCGCATAAATTTAATTGTCATCGATGCGAGAGGAGAACGAAGCGCAGTTTGCAGCGAAATAAATCGCAGGACGCGTCTCGGGGCAGCAGCTCGGAATCCGGCGGGAGATCGGTAATCGGCCTTTTGATACCTATCGACCGCCCGACGATTGCTGAAAAATGCAAATCCTGGTGTGGAGCCCGCTCGCCTCGGTGTATCATAAAAAGGTGGCCTGCTTTTCAGATAGACGCCTGGATTATGAAGTCGGGCTGCCGGCTCTAGAATAAACTGATCAAGCGCTTTGCTATAGATTATTATGGAGATGGATATAGAGAGGCGGTACTCGATTGGCACGCATAAATTGATAGACGAGGAAGGCAAATAGAGAAAGTACGTGATTTTAAATCTCAGCAAGTTTCTACGGGAATCTGACTCAGTTTTTTCATGGTACGAGTTGTTCGTCTCTCGCTTAATAAAGCGTTCCGATAAAGCCGTGCTCCATTGCTGCCTGACAAAGCAGGGTATCGCCGCGGGGGATATTAGTTATGCTGCGATGTTCTTTTCGCAAACAAGCAGTTTGCAAGGATAATGAGCGCTATTTATTTGTACACTATCTTCTTTCAATCAATTTTTCTAGCAAGTAACTTTCTTATTTTAGAACATGCCGGTTTGTTACGTACATCGTAGCAATGTATAGAAATCGCACTTTCAACCCGTCAACTTATCATTATGACGTTTATCGTGTCCTCCGCCAGCTACAACCACTCACGCAACAATTATCACGCAAAGTTCAAGTTCAGTAGAGGGGCCGCACTCGTCGTGCTCTAATTGCGTTATGTCAGGAATGTTTCAAGAATCTTTCATGTCACTTATTGGATTGGAAGCTGCTCGTTAGGAAAAGATGAAAAGAGCAAGCAGTTTTGGTATCGAGAAAATCAAGTTAGCTTTTCTTAGATGGATGCTTTTGATGAAATTGAATGTTAATTCGAGCTTTCATATTCAACGCTTCACTAAAATATGCTGCTAAAATACGCCTGCTAATAATGTATTTTAATGTTTGATCATCGGAACGTCAATGAGCTTTTACATCATAAATTTATAGAACGTCATTTCGTATTGTGCGATGAGTGCCCGTTCATTTTGAAAATGATCGAGAGAACGTCAAACTGATATTGGAATAATTAACATTTATTATACATTTTCGGCGTTTCAATAATGCGTAAGAGTGTTCTTGTAACTTCATTTAACAGGTCATCTGCTGAACGAATCATAAAATGCCAGCTCTTCGAACGGCCAAAATTTAACGCAAAGTTTACGCATTTGAGATTTATGTAAAAATCCAGTGAAAGATAGCAATTCTAGTTTTACAACGCCATATGCAACTTCTCGTCGAAGGCTTATTTTAGGCACATATTACAAACTAAGATAGAAAAATATCCGGACATGTGGGCTGCTAAGCAGCAGCATTTTACTCGATTCCCGCAGTAAATACAGACGCTAAGCGCGCCGCAAATTAATAACTGGAATTAGGATAATATTATCGTAGCTATGGGCGAGTATTTACCTGGCCGCGCGACGCTTTGTTCTCGTATATACACGAAATGGGCAAACACGCCGAACGAGATTTCCGCCGAACAAGTGAAGACAATGAACGCCAGACTCTACTGGTGGTTTGTTTTTGGTCGGAGAGTTGCAAAGTAAATGGTGGAGGAAAATTCATAAGCACTCGGTATGTCTCGTGTTCGTTTGTCCAGGCGAGACCCCACGCAGGCAACATATTAAATGTCACGAATTTACGACCAATACGCATTTTACTTACGCTCCCTCGCAAGTGCCTCGAGTGCAAGGGCTTAACGGAATATTATCCAAATGTGTGATTTAGGACGTCTCATAAAACGGGGACGTCTCTTTCGGCGCTCGATTGATGGCTTTTAATTTGAAGGTGTAAAAGGGAGCCAATTGAGATATCGCGCCGACCGGACAAAGCCATATCGTCTCTCTGAGACCACGTATTTTTCGAAATTAAATTCTATGATTTACATTGCGAGTTTGAAGCTTGTCAGATCGACGAACGTTAAATCGTCCGAGATCTTAACGAACGCTTTACATTTAAGAAATTCTCGGCCGGCTCTCATTATCTTTTCATTTCCAAATTGTTCAATTTTATCGTCCATTAGCCGTTAATTGTTCGCAGTCAGTGCCTCCTTAGCTCGACTCGCTCCTTCGCTCGTTCAATTTTATTTTCCATTTGGCTCGATTGTCCGTCCGTCTCTTTACTACCCCTGTGTCGCTGATATTTATGACTGGCGCTCATGAGTGCTTCTGTCTGCGTTGCAGGATGCCGGATGAAGCTGGTTGTGGTGGTGGCGGTGGTCTGAAGGGGAGACTTCTAGCTGCCCCCGGCACGAGGAGGACACTGCTGGCGCTGCTGATGCTGCTTGTTATGTCACATGCCACAGCCAAAGGTGAGTCCGTTCATTCTTCTTTCCTTCTTTTTATAGGCGGTCGTCAAAGGGAGACTGACCTTTTTTTACAAGAGTACTTCAAGACTGGAATAGAAAAATGTTGATACGTTATAACGATCCGTGCAATTCGAAAAACTGCTCAGCGAAATTTCGTTCCTTCAGTTTTCGTCTTTATACATTTTAAAAATATCATCGCAAGCTGAATATTTTTTTTTTTTTTTACTGAATGAGAAGCTATTTTCAGTTAAAAAATTAGGTTTCTAGTTATTCAAAAGGGAAAACACGATTGCTAATGTGTTGACGTTATTACCAAAGCAATAATTGTGAATACGAATCGATAAATGTAGCCTTACCTCGTAATTAGCATCTCTCGGGGGTGATCATTAGCATGTTGTTCATGCGCAGAGGGACAAAGGTAAGGCAACGATCTCGAGGCGCCTAATAATAATAATTTGGCGGCGAATCGAAAGAAACGCCGTCACGCCGGCGATCAATAATTTATTGTGGTATTATGCGGCGGCGGCGACGGCGGCTGATAGCGCGCGAAATTCACAGCAGCGGCGCGCGTAATGATACTTAGGTGCGGTAGCGAGCTGCTGCAGGCCTCCTTTCGAAGGTAATTGCGCGTGTGTGCGTCAGGAGATTAACTCCTCAGACTGCTGGCCGCTCTTTAATGAGGCGCTGCTGCTGCTGTAGCGTGGGAGAGAGAGATTTTTCGAGAACTTTGTTTCGCGGATTATCAGACGTAGATATGCTCGTACGAAGGAGGAACGCTTGGCAAGGTTGACGTGTTTTTAAGAGATTTGAATTTCGGTTGGATGATAAGTAAATTGCTTCGTTTGAGTATTAAAAAAGTACTCAAGGAGATCCTCATTCAGTAAAATTCATCATTCATAATTGATTCTCCGTGCTAAAATTGCCTTGAATAAAAAATCGAATTAGCTGGGCTGTCAATGAAAATCAAGATCATGATCCACCTACATGACATTTCCGTCTCTCAAAATTTCCCTTGTTAAATGTCTCCTTTACCACGCTATTGCAATGCGCCACGGCATTTCGATAATTCGTTTACCGAACAGTGCGATGGCGTTTATCGATCGTTGCTATAAACCTTTTTCACTGCAGCAATCTTGTACAAATTAGCATAGCGCAACGGCTGAAAAGGGCTTGGTTATGCAGAACCGACTTGCAATCAGCGCAAGCTGCACTCAATTGCCTTTTGTTTCTCGTTTCTCATTCATTAAGCTTTGTTTTTCGCTAAAATTAAGAGTATTTCCAGGTAAAATGAACGAACTGATTGTTTCCGTTTCGATATTTGAAAACCGGAATTTTTTTCCGACGAAGTATTTTCCTCTCTGCACGCACAAGTATTACTCGATGCGCACTCTGACGAAACGTGAAAATCACTTTGCTGAAGGGTTCGTGGAATATGTATATATAAAAGTGCGCCTGAAATGGAAAATCCATAAAGTGGCTCCCATCTTTTAAAATGATCGAGTTAACCATATACATTCTAAAAAATGTGGTTGTAAAAAAAGTGCTAAGAAGTTACTTTTTCCAATTAAAATTTCTCTAGCTCCGATCGAGATTCATGGTTTCGACGCGTGTTCACAAGATATGGCAAGTTATTTTCACTGGCAGCCTTGAACTTCAGGATCCATACAGCAGCAAAAAAATTCTACGATTTAATTGAAGATAAAAGCTGTGATTCAGATTTTGCCTTTTTTTTAAATAATGTGATGTAAGATTTATTTCTGCTGATTAAGGCCAATTCCGTAACCGCTACTGTGAAAACTTTTGTCTGTGTATAAAAATATCTGGCTCATCAGTTGTTATCATTTCTAAATTTATATTTATCAGGTCTGGCTGTCACCAAGACAATCAAAGCAATCCCGCAAGAAGCAATAGCGACAGGGCAGAGCCGCGAGAACGAATGGTCTATAATTATACTTGCCGCCTTTTGAATTATGAATGCTGCACTCACATATACTCTCGTGGGTTTTTTATTGATCGCACTCTTGGAATTAGAATCAGCCGTACGTTTCTTCACTTTTTGCCGTCCAATTCAGTATGTATCGATTCAGTGCTCTAACGATTGATGGAAATACTTTTGCTGGGCAAACGGTTGCTTTCGAATACATCCCAAAAAGGCCAGAGATCTCGCGACCAACAGAAAAAAGTACTTGGACTAAAGTTGTCTTGACAAACCGAAAATTCCGAACTTTGCTAAAGCTTCATCATTGGGAAGAAAATAGGCGAGCGAAGTGACGTGGGAAGTGCGCGGGGAATTTCCAATACTATAATTTATCGCTACAACGTGCGGCGTTGCGAGATGCCGCTGATAGTTCAGATGCTGCAACTTCAGAGAACGGCGTTGTTTGATTACAGTCCAATAATAAATTCAGGTTCAGAAGCTGCACTTATTGAGTAGATGCTGGAGAGCTCAATCGAGTTGTTATTCTTTACATTCCAGAAAATTCGCCTTGCTGATTGTACAATGCAAGGCTGCAAATCAGTTCTGCAGGTCAAAAAGTGAAGATGCAATTTCTTGTACATCCTGCAGCAAGTGTGCGGCTTGTAGGTGAGAATGTAATCCCGTCTCGTCATCTTCACCACTGCAGGCACAACGAACAAGACAAAAGAAAGACCGGCAGGTATCTTCTCGGCTGCTGCATTCATAATTTTTCGCAGGAAAACACGTACACCAGTTTCGCGCGTGTCCTTCTACGGCATCTACTGGTAAAAATATTCTGTCTATCTACCCGGCACGTGAAGCTTCGACGGGAAAGAGGAAAATCTTGAGCATGCAGCCGCAAGATAGAAGTTCCTTTATTTATTGGCGAGCCCTTCGTCCGAACAACACCAATCTGATCATGCGCCTTTTCTCCCCTCTCTCTTCTTGCAAAAATCACACGATCGATTTATTCGGCAAACAATTCCTATGCACAGGACTGACTTTCGAGGAGTCGTCTTTTGTTTCCTATTCTTTTCTTGTTCACCACCGCGACGAGGAGTACGACCTAGTTAAGGGCGATGTACTTGTGTCTTCTTCTTTTCCTTCTTTTTTGCTGTTGAGAGGAGTGTGTCTCTTCTTTTTCCCAAGCACTCGTGATCGTCGATGAGCTTCTTCTATGGCTACTGTGGGAAAGCTTTCTCGATCGTCTTTTGTTTCTGTCTTTTCAATTGTACGAGACCTCGTTTTTTCGCTCTGTCGATTCGCAAGTGAAACTTATTAATGTGTCATCGGCCGTGCCGGGAAACAATGTTACCGGTCAGATAAAAATCACAATATCGCACCCATTGACAAGTGGAGCCACTTGAAAATCGATCGGCCCGGAGGCGCCTGGGTAACAAATACATGCGCAAAAGCGGGATGGAGGATGCTTAGCACAAACCGTGTATTCTCATTTAGTAAGTTTCGGGGGCCGCGTGGAAGTCCCTTAATTAATTTTAACGCGCTACGCGCGCCCGGCCCAACTTTTAGCCGACCTCATACGGCTAATGGAACATTGGGAGAGCGAGGACAGTAGCGCTGGGCGAGTGCGAGAGAAAAAGAGGGGTGTCGCGCTGCTGCTGTTCACGTCGGAATTAGCATGAGCGAGTGGCGGCCAAGTTTCGTCGTTATCAGGCTCCCCTCCTTCGACGAATTTAGCATGCTTCTTCAGTAGCTTTTTCGAGATTCTTGTTCCAGGGTAGACTTTTGTTGATACGAGTTGTTCATTGAAAATGATGATATGCTAATGGCGTTGTGCCAATTTATTGGTAAGTTATTCGTTTTTCTTAATAAAATAATCTCACGGTAATGATCGATAAGTGAAACAAGTAAGCACTGCGGTCAATCTTCATTACGTGTGATATTTAGGCTACTGCAGATTAACAGCTGTAATCCTATCTATTAAGTTGACAGTTATTTCGAATGACTCTTGAGGAGTCGTATGACTTCGTAGATTACAACTGGATTAGTAGTTAATCGCGTGAACACCTCTACTATCTTTAGCTTCTGCTTGTATTCAATTCGGTATATCACAGTATTTTGCCAATCGAGACCGTCGCGTTTATTTTTTCCTTTTATAAAAAATTATACCAATACCAGAGATGCAAATGCAGCGACGGAAAGGTGGCGTCCAGTGCACAATATAAATGCAAAAGTCTCGGCATTGCAAAAGAATATCCCTGCGCACCGGTGCATTTCTCCACTTGCAATATGACGGAGCGCTTGCATATACCGCATGCGTAGCGAGAGTGAGGGAGCGAGGTAGAAAGAGAACGATATTAGCTATTCCAGTGGCGTCGCGCAGCAGAGTGCGACATCCCCTGGCGCCCTCCGACTTATTTCTTTCACTGCCTAACTTATTTTCACGCCCGAAGCCTGCCTATCTGTCTGTCACGTCCTCCACTCTACCTTTAGAGAAAAAAGAGAGGTGGATAATTGTGCGGCACGGTGAAAGGAGGAAGAGCTTTTTTAAATTTTTAATAAGCCACAAGCAAGGCTTTAATTATCGGTTGAAAGGATGGCAGGTTTACGCAAATGGTTCAATGTTCGTTTTTCCCTACTGGCGATGAACTGGTTATTATTGATTATTCCGTGGTGTAATTTAATTAATAATGCATTGGATTCGTCACTGTTTGGCAACTAGCATTTTTCGAGAGCAGAGTACGGACTCATAAATGTGACTTGTTTGTTTTAGCGTAGTTCTGTCAAGTTTTAATGTGGGGCTTAAATAATAAATTCAGGAATCCAAATGACATTGTGCGAGAGCATTATATTAGAAACGTTGATCACCATACGTAAGCAATTGGAAAACATGTGTATAATACTAAACTTTGTGTTTGGTTACTTATCACGAGATCACGCATTTATGAATTTGAAATCGCAGCGAAATTTCAATATACGACCGCATAAATAAATATATATCTATATTATTTTATTTCAACTTTTGTTACATTTTGCTTTACATTTCCTACTTCACTATTTGTGTCTCGTGTCCAGTAAATAAATA